TGTACTGACACAGTACAACACACACAGCACACAGTTAACCCTTTGATTGCCCCACATGTTAAACCCTTCCTGCCCCGTGTCATTAGTACAGTGTCAGTGCTTTTTATTAGCACTGATCACTGTATTGGTGTCACTGTAGATGTCAGTGACACCAAGTCAGTTCCCCCCCAGTGTCAGAATGCTATAACTTTCACATAAACCAATTAATTTACACGTATTGGGATTTTTTTTTGCAAAGACATGGAGCAGAACACATTTTGGCCTAAATTTATTACGAAATTTGATTTTTTAAAAATTTTTTACTAGATATGTTTAATAGCAAAAGGTCAAAAATATAGTTTTTTTTCTCAAAATTGTCAGTCTTTTTTTGTTTATAGCTCAAAAAATAAAAAAACACTGAGATGATCAAACACCACTGAAAGAAAGCTCTATTCGTGGGTAAAAAAGGACGTACATTTCATTTGGGTGCAGTGTTGCATGACTGCAAAATCGTCAAAGTAACGCAGTGCCATATTGCAAAAAGTGGCCTGCTCAGGAAGGGGGGTAAATCCTCTGGAGGGCAAGGGGTTGATGAGACACAGTTGGCAAAAGAAAAATAAATAAATAACAGGGGTCCTAACCCTCTCTTACTCTCAAAAAATGAAAAAAAAAAAAAGTTTTGCCTTTAATTCAAATTTAACCAGTTGAAGACACTGGACAGGCTACACCCCAAAAAAGTAATTATTGTGTAACACATCCATCCGTCTTTCTGCCATATCCCTCTTTCCCAACTGCTAGCAATTGTTGACTCTGAAAATTAAGCTTGGAGCTGCTGGTATATATGAGAACTGCTGCTGTCAAACATTAACCATCTGACTCAGCATATATAGAGAGACATACAATGTAACATTGTTTATAAAAACATTGTTCAGACATGAAGAAGAGAGATACAAAGTAACATTGTTTATAAAAACTGATCAGATGTGAAATAGAAAGATAGACCTGGTTCACATATATATAAAAATTGAATGCGTTTTGAATCACATCTGATTCACATGACATGTGAAGCAAAAGCCTTTTCTATGAAGTTAATTCACATATGTTTGGGCTGGCTGCAGTGTGATTTGTAAAATAATCGAGAGAGAGAGAGAGAGAGAGAGAGAGAGAGAGAGAGAGAGAGAGAGAGAGAGAGAGAGAGAGAGAGTAAAAATAAAGAAGAGGGAAAGAAAGAGAAAGAAAAAGAAAGGACAGAGAGAGAGAGAAAGAAAGAAAGAAAGAAAGAAAAAGAGAAAAAGAAAAGGACAGAGAGAGAGAGAGAGAGAGAAAGAAAGAAAGAAAGAAAGAAAGAAAAAGAAAGAAAGAAAGAAAGAAAGGGAAAGAAAAAGAAAAGGACAGAGAGAGAGAGAGAAAGAGAGAAAGAAAGAGGGAAAGAAAAAGAAAGGACAGAGAGAGAGAAATAAAGAAAGAAAGAAAGAAAGAAAAGAAGAAGAAAGAAAGAAAAAGAAAGAGAAAGAAAAAAGAAAGAGTTAGAGAAAGAGGGAAAAAGAAAGAAAGAGAAAGAAAAAGAAAGAAAAAGAAAGGACAGAGAGAGAGAGAAAGAAAGAGGGAAAGAAAAAGAAAGGACAGAGAGAGAGAGAGAGAGAGAGAAAGAAAGAAATAATAGGAAGCGAGGGAAGGAAGGGGAGACAGAGAGAAAGAACCCTTTCCTTGGAGACCTGGTTGCAAGAGCGACCGTGCGTTTTGAATCGCATCTGATTCAATGACGTGAAGTAAAGGCCTTTTCTGTGACGTTAATTCACATATGTTTGGGCTGGCTGCAGTGTGATTTGTAAAATAATCCAGAGAGAGAGAGAGAGAGAGAGAGAGAGAGAGAGAGAGAGAAAGAAAAAAGGACAGAGAGAGAGAGAGAGAGAGAGAGAGAGAGAGAGAGAGAGAGAAAGAGAAAGAGAGAAAGAAAGAGGGAAAGAAAGAAAGAAAGAAAGAAAGAAAGGAAAGAGAAGGAAGCGAGGGAAGGAAGGGGAGACAGAGAGAAAGGACCCTTTCCTTGGAGACTGGTGGTGGAACTCCAGGGCCTGGTTGCAAGAGCGACCGTGCGTTTTGAATCGCATCTGATTCAATGACGTGAAGCAAAAACCTTTTCTATGGAGCTAATTCACATATGTTTGGGCTGGCTGCAGTGTGATCTGTAAAATAATCCTGTGCTATTTCAAGAAAGAAGAGAAAGAGAGAGAGAGAGCGAGAGAGAGAGAGAGCGAGAGAGAGCGAGAGAGAGAGAGAGAATTAGAGAAAGAAGGAGAAAGAGAGAGAAAAAAGGGAAAGAAAGGGAGAGAGATGGAAATAGAGAAGGAGAAAAAAAAAGAGAAGGAAGCGAAGGAAGGGGAGACGGGGGAGACTGGTGGCGGAACTCCAGGGCCTGGTTGCAAGAGCGACCTTGGTAGTTTCACCACTAGTATCAGTAGGATTTTGTTTTTATTTTTTTTTACAATTTTATATTTTATTATTTTTTAATATTTGGGGGGTGCTGGGGGCTTTGGTGAGAGGGAAAGACAAGAAAGAAGGAAGGGGAGACAGAGAGAAAGAGAGAGTATTAGAGAAAGAAGGAGAATGAGAGAGAAGGAAAGAAAGAAGGAAAGAAGGAAAGAAAGAAAGAAAGGGGGGAGCATGCAGAAGTGCACGTCAGCAAGATAGGAGGGGCGGCCTCCAGCAGCCGAGAAGCAGGCATTCAGTGACAGCAAGAGAGAAATGCACAGTTGGGTTGCTCTATGTGCCGCCCCCTCCTATCCAGGCGAATGCCCAGTGTGCCCTGTGGCCAGGTCATTGCTCTCTGCTCAAAGCAGCAAGGGCAGCTAAGTGATCAGCAGCGTTTGATCGCTCAGTTCTCAGCCTTAGAGCTGGCGGGTACAGATGCATGGCTGCTCTATCCAGATAGGTAAGAATGATTTTAAAATGAAAAAGAATCCCTTACTTCTCTGTTAAGTAATGACATCATTATTGGTGAATAGACAAGTCCATAACAGGCAGCAATCTTATGGGCTCATTCTTACTGCTGCATTTTAATGCTCGTGTCACAGCCTGCTAAAACGCACATCCCCAAAATAAAAAGCATCTTTTCTTATCTCTCCACTGCAGTGCATTTTGAAAAATGCAATATGTCCAATTTTTTTTTTTGTTGGGGGGGGGAGGGGTAGACCAATAGCAGTCAATGCCATCAATGGCATGTCAGCTGCATTTTGCTGCATTGGGAACAGATATTAACAAGTCTCGGTCGCTGGCTGTTGACCCTATCCACACCAAATTCTAAATAAAACGCGCATTAGAACTGCACGTCAACACACATCAATAACTCTTGTCAGTGCACAAAGGAAACGCATGTCGACACAAGAAAATGCAGCTACCTGATGCTCCAAAAATAGCATCTCTATGCAGATCTAAATGGGCCCTCAAAAATTATTTTTGGACTGAAAATGACAGTAAATTATATCCTCATACTCCAAAAAAAAAAAAAGGCTGTGAGATCTTTTTTTCTTGAAATTGTTTCTTACTGTGTTTTTCTGCCTCCTTGAACTCCCAAACATCTCCTTTTCCCTTTCACTTCTGTTTCTTAGCCCTGCTTCAAAATCCAAAGTCCATAGTCCATCTCATGAGCAAGCAAGAGAGAGTGACTACGTTCCTATGTACAGTGGGACCCTGGTGGACAAACGTAGCCACCCTCTAACAGGAAGTCAGATCACAGCAGTAAAAACAAAAGAATTTGGAGATTTGGAGAGCAATAGAAGGGACTATTTTGAGTTAAGAATACATACTTGAATATTTTTCCATTTTTGGTGTCACTTGAAGATGACACACGGCCAGAGTGACGAATAAAAAAATTCTCACCAATGAATGTAAAGAAAATGGCGAAGGCGGCGATGTCCCAATCTGATTGGAAGAACTGTTTGCTGGTGATGCGTCCCAGGATATCATTCCACTGGCTCTGCAGCTGCTGCTCAATGCTTGCCGTAGTTGACATGGTGTGGCGCGGTGAAGGAGGTGGCGGTCACCTCTGCCCGGGTCTCTATCCTAAATGAAACGATAAGAAAACCACGTCATGTCATCATTTCAGGGAACCAAATTGTTTCAGCTGCCAAAGGATTTGCCTTACAATTCACAAATCAGTCACAAGTAATCCCCATAATGTGTCTAATATGTGTATTTCCTATGGTTGTCAGTTCCATCCAGTGGTCATATTGCAGTATTTTCCTGACTGTGGCATTTCAGGAAAATACCGCATAATAGCCACTAGATGGAGCTGCTGGGCATGTTAAAATGTTGCTAAACCCCCAAACCCTGCATTCATTATATCCGGTCTCCCCGGACCCTGCATTCACTATATCCACTCTCCCCGGACCCTGCATTCACTATATCCGGTCTCCCCGGACCCTGCATTCACTATATCCAGTCTCCCTGGACCCTGCATTCACTATATCCGGTCTCCCTGGACCCTGCATTCACTATATCCGGTCTCCCCAGACCCCGCATTCACTATATCCGGTCTCCCCGGACCCTGCATTCACGATATCCAGTCTCCCCGGACCCGGCATTCACTATATCCGCTCTCCCCGGACCCTGCATTCACTATATCTGGTCTCCCCGAACCCTGCATTCACTATATCTGGTCTCCCCAGACCCCGCATTCACTATATCCGGTCTCCCCGGACACTGCATTCACTATATCCGCTCTCCCAGGACCCTGCATTCACTATATCCGCTCTCCCCGGATCCTGCATTCACTATATCTGGTCTCCCCGGACCCTGCATTCACTATATCTGATCTCCCCAGTCCCTGCATTCACTATATCTGATCTCCCACAGTACACACAACATGGAAATGCAATTATTTTAGTAAATATAAAACTGCTAAATACCTTTTCTCATCAGCAGTTACAGCAGTTTTGTGACTTCTATCAGTGTCCAGGAGAGCACTGGTTAAAGCTTGTAGGAGGAGTTTTCATTCTGCTCTAGGAGGATGCAGAATCCCTGACCTCTGTCTGGACAGTGCTGATTGGCCCTGTGCTGATCACATGCACTCTCCCAAGAAAAAAAAAAAAAGTCTCTAGCAATACACACTAACCTGAGCATGCGCAGAATGGCTACGGTACAGTCTCTTATCAGGAGATAAGATGTGGACATTTGAACAAGAGGAGAGGCAGAGAAGACAGGATCAAACAGCCTTTTTACACAATGCAGAGGATTAACCCCTTAGATTCCACAAGCATGCTTTACTGCATATACAGACTGATTTTATTGTTGTGGGTTTATCTGCATCAGGGAAAAAATCAGGTCTCCTGCCCTTCAAGACAAGGCAGAGCTGTGTAAATCTTAGGCCTGGATGGAAAGAAATAAAAGCCTTCTGGCAGGTAAACCAGCTCCCTTGCATGTTTTTCTTATGTGTATTTAGCTGGAGCCAATAATTACACGCATCAACCTTATACAATAAAGTTTCCATTTTTAGGAACTATAAATTTTTGGACAAAAATTACTTTTTTTAATCCAAGTTCTTCTTTATATTCCTGTATCTGAATGTTCTGAATGGCGGAGGGGGGATTGTATGAAACGTTCGTCCAGATCCAGGCCCCTCACTAGAGGTTGGACAAGGTTAATGAAGTTTACACTGAACATTTCCGCCTTTGGAACGAGAGAATAAACCAACAGACCGCGCCCAGTCCTGGCCACGCCTCCCGTCTTCTCATTATTACTTACACAGTAAACATCAAACTGTCCCCAGGAATATGATTAACAGGGTTCTATGATCTGCAGAGAGTCAGGGGTCAGCCAAGCATGGGTCGGCTCCGGGAAGACGCTGCCAGGGGCAATTTACAAGGATATGTACAAGAAGAGAATTAAAGTAGGAAAACATTTGGGATAGAGAGTGAAGGGGTTAGAACAGGGGTCAGCAACCTCGGCCCTCCAGCTGTTGTGGAACTACAAGTCCCATGAGGCATTGCAAGACTGACAACTTTAGGCATGACTCCCAGAGGAAGGGGCATGATGGGACTTGTAGTTTCAGAACAGCTCGAGTGCGGAGTGTGCGTACCTTTGGGTTAGAACCTCTGCCTGCTTTTTATTAATAAGAAAAGATAGTAACCAGCTCTCCGAAAATAAGAAAAAATTATGTTTACCATCATTCCAGAGGGACCAACATTTTGGGAACATAAGGGACCCACAGGGTACATTGAACCTTGCTCTCTGTGAGGAAAGCAGTGGTCACTCCACAGAGGTACAGCGTACCCTTTGCTGAGTCAAAGCTAAAGCTCTCTAATCATCTATGTGCAGAAGCTTTTCGGATTGCAGAGCCAAAGGTCTGACCAGGGGAGGACTGACAACTCATGGGGCCGCAGGGCAATAGGGGATAATGGGGCCCCCGTGTCCTCGCCCACACCCAAAAAAGCCTATGAAAAAAACAATGAAAAAAGGTACCAGGGGCATCTCATGGGGCCCCCTACTGACCCCGGGCCCTCGGGCAGTGCCCGAGTACGCGAATGGTCAGTCCGCCCCTGCGTCTGACCTAGTAGGGGGTGTTCTGAACCACTGCAGAGAGACCACTGCTTCCTCAGAGGCAGTTTCTCAGTAGCATGCTGGCAGCATGGTACCGAGGTGCAACCTTGCTCTCTGTGTGGAAGCAGTGATCTCTGCAGAGGTCCAACAGTCCCTTTGATGTTTCATATCTATTATTTATTTATTTCAGGTACTTATATATCGCCATCAATTTACGCAGCGCTTTACATATATATTGTACATTCACATCAGTCCCTAACCCTCAAGGGGCGTACAATTTAAGGTCCCTAACTCACATTCATACATACACATACTAGGGACCAATATAGACAGGATCCAACCTACCAGCATGTCTTTGGAGTGTGTGTGAGAAAACCGGAGTTCCCAGAGGAAACCTACGCAGGCACAGGGAGAACATGCAAACTCTAGGCAGGTAACGCCATGGTTGGGATACGAACCAACGACCCGTGTACTGCCAGGCAGAAGTGCTAACCACTTAGCCACTGTGCTGCCCAGATCTATAGCCCTCCAATCATCAAGGGACATGAGCTCTACTGATTGCAGAGTTAAATGTCAGACTCAGTAGGAGGTGAGTTAGACCTTTGCAGAGAGACCGCTGCTTCCTCAGAGAAAGCTCCTCAGTGACATGCTGGCAGCATGACACAGAGACTTGCTTCCTCTGGGGAAGCAGTGATCTCTGCAGAGGTCCAACATTCCCTTTGATGTTTCAGATCTATAACCCTCCAGTCATCAAGAGGCATGAGCTCTGCTGATTGTAGATCTAAATGTCAGACTCAGTAGGAGGTTAGACCTTTGCAGAGAGACCACTGCTTCTTCAGAGAAAGCTTCTCAGTGACATGCTGGCAGCATGACACAGAGATGGAACCTTGCTTCTTCTGGGGAAGCCGTGATCTCTGCAGAGGTCCAACATTCCCTTTGATGTTTCAGATCTATAGCTAAAAGTCAGACTCAGTAGGAGTTGGACCACTGCAGAGAGACCACTGCTTCCCCACAGAGAGCAAGAGTCCATCTCTGTATCATACTGGCAGGAGAGAAGCTTTTTGTGCCAATGACCCCAGTTGTGGCAAAAAAGTCCAAAGGGTGCTCAGGTTATGGTGGTGCCATGCAAATCCAAGGAAAGCCAGCACTCCAGGAATAAGGAAAATGACATTTACAGCCATTTCAACAACATTTTGGGGACCTCCTTTCTCAAGGTAATGAAACAGAAAGCTGAATATTTTGCAAGTCCATCAAAAGATGTCCAATAGTTTACAGCTTATTTTCTTCAGAAAGCAACCACAGAGTATAAAAGCCTATCCCCTGCCAGCATGGTACAGAGGTGGAACCTTGCTCTCTGTGTGGAAGCAGTGGTCTCTTCGCAGAGATCCTCCATGCCCAGGGGCAGACTGACCATTTGGAAACTCGGGCACTGCCCGAGGGCCCGGGGTCAGTAGGGGGCCCCATGAGATGCCCCTGGTACCTTTTTCATAGGCTTATTTGAGTTTGGGCAAGGACACAGGGGCCCCATTATCCCCTATTGCCCGGGGTCCACATGAGTTGTCAGTCCGCCCCTGTCCATGCCCTTTGCTGAGTCAGAGGTAAAGCTCTCTAATCATCAGGGAATATGAGCTTTGCTGATTGCAGAAATAAAAATCTGACTCAGTAGGGGGTGTTTTGAACCTCTGCAGAGAGACCACTGCTTCCACACAGAAATCAATAGTTCATCTCTGTACCATGTTGGCAGAGGAGAGGGTTTTATGTCATCAGTCTGTGCCACATTCAGTCCAGTGTGCCAAAAAAGTGCAAAGGGTGTTCGGCTTATGGCGGTCCCATACAAATCCAAAGAATTATTAGTAGCCAGCACTCTGGGAATGAGGAAAATTACATTTACTGCCAGTCCATAGAGACCAACATTTCAGGGACATGTGGGACCCCTTTCTCCGGTTAGAAGAGAATTCTGTTAGCGAAATATACTCCAACTACATCAAACGGTGTACAAGGTTTTAGAGTTTGTTTTCTTCTAAAAGCAGCCACAGAGTATAAAAGCCTGTCCCCTGGCAGCATGGTACAGAAATGGAACCTTGCTCTTTGTGTGGAAGCAGTGGTCTCTGTGCAGAGGTCCAACATTCCCTTTCCTGTGTCAAATCTATAGCTCTGCAATCATAGAGGTGCAGGACCTCTACTGATTGCAGAGATAAAAGTCTGACTCAGAAGGAGGTGTGTTGGACCTCTGCAGAGAGACCACTGCTTCCCCACAGAGAGTCTATTTATGTATCATAGTGTCAGGGAACAAGTTCTTCTATCATCAGTTTGTCCCACACTCACTCCAGCTGTGCCAAAAAAGTCCAAATAGCGCTCGGCTTACGATGGTACAGCACAAATCCAAGGAAATATAGTAGCCAGCACTCCGGGAATGAGGAAAATGAAATTTACTGCCAGTCCATAGAGACCAACATTTCAGGGACATGAGGGACCCCTTTCTTGAGGTAGTAAAATAGAACCCCTGTTGAGGTTTTGCCCCCTGGCAGCATGACACAGAGATGGAACCTTGCTCTTTGTGTGGAAGCAGTGATCTCTGCAGAGGATGCAGGTGACCACAACTGGTCAGTTTGGATGCAGCCATAGCACAGTGCCTTGAGTTTAGCCACTTCGAAACGCAGCAAACAGTCCACTCCCATGGGGCCGTGTGAATGCATCCTATATGTGACTTGGCGTGGCTGCTGAAAAACCACATAGGGCTCGCCTTATAACATTGTTGATTTGGAGCGCAGAAAACATACCGACATTTACCTTGCAAAACTGGTGCACTTCTCTTTGGTAATTCCCCTACACTGAACGCTGAGTGGGGCTTTAAACTATTTTAAAGGAAGATCTAAGTGAACAACATGCAATCCTCTGCGTTCAAGTAAGGTACCAGTATCCTGAGAAGACACTCTCTACTTCAAATATCTCAAGTCCATGAACAACGACTTGATCCTCAGGAATCCGCTAAGCCTTGCTGCCCTCCTCAGACTGGAGTAATCGGCACTACATGCAGAATGACAGAAGAAGGTGCACCAGCCTAGTGCGTTAACCACAATACCATTTATTGAAATGGCTAAAAGTAGGTAATTATGCTCAAAAATGGACATAGACACAGGCTCATCACAAGGGGGTATCCTTGAAATGCGTCAACGTTTGCAGACCCTTGTGAGATCTTCCCAGTCCATCTGGAAGCATACACAGGGGTTCTGGACATTTCATCCTTGATGGTTGATATAACTCTGAGTAATTATATTCACAAACGGACATAGACAAAGGCTCATCACAAGGGGGTATCCTTGAAACGCGTCAACATTCACAGATCCTTGTGACTACCTCCTAGTCCATCCACAGGCATGCACAGTGGTTCTGGTTCTTTCATCCTTGATGGTTGTGATAATTGTGAGTAATTATACTCACAAAATGGACATAGACAGAGGCTTATTACAAGGGGGGGTACCTTTAAATGCGTCAACATTTGCAGACCCTTGTGACATCTTCCCAGTCCATATGAAGGCATGCACAGTGGTTCTGGACATTTCTTCCTTGATGGTTGTGATAATTGTGATTATACTCACAAATAGACGTAGACAAAGGCTCATCACAAGGG